TTACTGCACTGGCTGGAGGGTTTAGGAATAGGGGGCACCGTGCTTCAGTGGTTCTCCTTCCTCTCTGACCGTTCGCAGTTTGTGTTGGCGGGGGGGCAGAGGTCGACCTCGAGGCACCTTATTTGTGGGATGCCGCAAGGGTCCTCTCACCCCTTCTGTTCAACATTTATGTAAAACCGCTAGGCGAGATCATCCGTGGTTTCGGGGTGACTGTTCATCAGTATGCTGATGACACACAGCTATACATCTCCACCCCAGACCACCCCAATGATGCCCTTGCTGTGATGTCCCATTGCCTGGAGGCCGTGCAGATCTGGATGGGGAGAAACAAGCTCAGACTCAACCCCTCCAAGACCGAGTGGCTGTGGCTTCCAGCGTCCTGGTATAGTCAGCTGGTACCATCACTGACAATAGGGGATGAGATCTTGCTCCCCACAGAGAGGGCCCGCAACTTGGGTGTCCTCCTGGATTCACGGCTATCTTTAGAAGATCATTTGATGGCCGTGGCCAGGGGTGCCTTTTATCAGGTTTGCCTGATCCGCCAGTTGCGTCCCTTTCTGGATTGGGATGCCTTGTGCATGGTCACTCATGCCCTAGTTACCTCCGTATGGACTACTGTAATGCTCTCTACATGGGGTTCCCCTTGAAAAGCACCCGGAGGCTCCAACTGGTCCAGAACGTAGCCACACGGGTGATTATGGGCGCAGCTCGTTACGCCCATGTAACACCTCTCCTATGCGAGCTGCACTGGCTCCCGGTGGTCTTCCGGGTGCAATTCAAGGTGTTAGTTATCACCTTTAAAGCGCTCCATGGCTTAGGACCTGGGTACCTACGAGACCATCTTTTGCCACCAATAGCCTCCCACCAACCAGTTCGTTCTCACAGGGAGGGACTACTCAGGGTACCGTCAGTCAAATTATGTCGACTGGCGACTCCCAGGGGGAGGGCCTTCTCTGTGAGGGCTCCAACCCTTTGGAATGAACTGCCCCCGGAGATACGGAATATCCCTGATCTCCGTGCTTTCTGCCGTGCCCTCAAGACCCTGATGTTCCAACAGGCGGGGCTAAACATATGAACATGTGAATGATTTTTTAAAATGTTATCTAATTCTGGGTTTTATTTAATTGACCAAATTAAGTAATAATTTTAATTAGCAATTTTATGATGTTTGTGTGTCCATATTTTTCTTGACTGTACACCGCCTTGAGTCCTACGGGAGAAAGGCGGTATAGAAATATAATAAATAAATAAATAAATACATGTTAAGGTAAAATAAATTATTTTTTAAAATTAACTGAAATTATAAAAAAGCAAACAAACATCAAGCCGATACTTCCACAAACATCAATTGTTGAACATGAGGAAAAGAGACTTCAGATAACATTTCATATCTGCTCAAACCCCAAGATGTATCTTGGTCAAGACTAAATTGAATAAGTTCTAAAGACTAAATAGGATGAATTTGCAAGGATGATGCCAATTGCTATTTTGGATCTTGCCAAGTTGGAAATTAATTTGATTAATCTTTAAATTTTATAAGTTGTGAGATTTAGTAGTTTCCAATTTACTAAGCTAAGTTAGAAGTAGAATTGATCTTACAACATACTATTTCCAATGTTACAGATATGAATGAGGCATTTGAATTTATATTGTCTCTAATTATAAGCCAGCGCTTAATTGCATGGGATTCTCAAGATAGATGAGCCCAGTGTGGTGGGCTCATAAACTAATTTTAAGCAAGTATAGTCCATATACTGTAGATGCAATAAGCAGGAAAACAAAACCTTTAAGCAAGAAGAAGAACCCGAAGAAAACAACAAACAATAAACAACAAATATAAAAAGGGGGCTCAAGAGATTTGAATTTTTGGAACCTTTGGATTTTTGGAATATAAGTGATTTGTGGCTTTTCTCTTGGTTTTTTTTGGTTTCTGTTTTTTTGCCTATTTTCTGTCTTTTTTGGATTATAATTGGAGATTATAATTTTTAAAATTAATATTATTTTTCTTTCGCGGTGGATTACAAATATTAAAAGATTCAAGATGAGGAAAACAGATCAGCACCATTGTCAGCAACTTCTTCAGCAGCCTCAAGTCCTGCTGGACGGAAGACTTTGGTTGCTCTAGTTCAACAAGAGAAAGCGAATGTAACACAGTCAGAACTGAAAGAAATCAGCTAAATGTTGGAAGTATTGCGTCACCAGAGTTGAAAGATACATTTTGCATTACTTCAACCAGTCTGGCTTTGCCACCATTTCTTTTCTAAAAAAATCTTCTTCGGGTGACATCCAAAGAGGCAGCTTCTTAGAGAGCCTCATTTTATATTTATACCAAACTCTTAGTATGGCACTTCTAACAAAGTGATTATTAAAATCAACATTAACTTTAATTTTATCATATCATAGATAGCTGTGCCATCCAAACCTTAATTCATGGCCCTCTTGTTCTGGAGGTTCACTCATTCTTTTAACCAGGGCAGATAGCGTGCATCAAAATACAGTTTCAAGTCTGGTAGACCCAAACCCCCTCTTTCCTTAGCATCTTGCAGTAGCTTGTATCTAATTCTTTTTTTCCTTGCCATATAAACTTAGAAATATTCTTCTGACATTTTTTAAATGGATTATTAGTTGCAAGTATTGGTAACGTCTGGAATAAAAAAAAGCATCTTTGGTAAAATATTCACCTTAATTACAGAGATTCTACCCAATAGTGATAGGTGCAGTTTGTCCCATCTTTGTAGGTCCTGCTTAATATCTCTCCAAAGAGGAACATAATTGCTTTGAAACAGTTTTACATTTGTCAACATAACCCTAAATATTTCATCTTTTTCTCAACCCTAAAACACAATTTTTTGGTCAATATATCACTGTCCTGAGAAGACATATTCTTAATCAACATTGTTGTTTTCTGTTTGTTTATTTAAACACCTGCCAAAGCCCCAAACTCATTTCACAAATCTTTCTAAGAAAAGTGCAGGGACTTCTCCAGGCAGTCTCCAAAGGTCAACACCAACTTGAAGGCACCAAACTTCAATCTTTCATCTTCAATTAGACTTATTGTCTCAAGGTTCCATCTCTTAAAATTGGGGTTTCCTGTCCCCTTGAAAAGGTTGCTTTGTCCAACAACAGAAATAACCCCAAGTACTCAGACAAGGACTTACCAATTTCTCCAACAATTTCCATCAAATCAGATTCCTAAGATTTTCTGTCTGCAACCTTCCACTTCTACCTCAACTGGAATGGTGTCTCTCCTGATATCTCTCAGACATCTACAGACGTGGTTCTTAGACATCTACTGAACACTTGCCACTTTCCCAAAACCTTTACTATATAAATATTTTCCTCTTCCTTTTCAATATGTATTTATTAATTATAATTGTAGTTGATAATCTTTCAATCATGTTTTCTTTGTCTACCACTTGAGAGTGTAAAAATAACAAATGGCTTCACTTTGTGGCTTCTGCTATAAATACAAGGAAACGGGAATACATCTGGTCTTTCTAATTTTCCTACAGCTGCAAGAATGCTTGTTGAACTATAGTTGTTTATCATACTATAAACCCAGATACCAAGGCAGACACCGTACTTTATCATGTGACTTCCGATCAATAGTTCTATTTTTAAGAGAAGAACAGCAATACCTCAGAAACAAATAAGGTTCTACTTTGATTTCATTGGAGCTTTTGATACCATCAACCCTTCTACTATTCTGGATAGGCTATACAAATTGTATATTTTTTCTTAGATGGGTAGTTTCAAATAGTGGTAGTAGCAGAGTCCCATTAAGGATTTCCTTCTTTTTTCCATATTAACTTTGATATTTCAATCAATCTCTTGATGAGAGAGATCCAGAAATACCACAAAGGGTAGATGACTTTGAGTTTAATTGTTTCTCCCAACAAACATAAAAAATGATTTGGTAATGGATAGAATAAAATGATTAGGAAATTGAAACTAACCATAATTAACTTGAATACTGGTGTGCATATGTGTTTAAAATATTCATCCAGTTCTGAATGGGCTTATCAGAGAGCTTCCTGATCCAATGTTGCCTCTAAAAACTTGAGCAGACTCTGTGACAAGAAATAAACATTCTTCATCAGTTTTGGCTGATAAACTAGTTGTCATTTTTCCTGCAGGTGACAACCTGTCTACCTTTCATCCTGCTGTGGTCATCTTCCATAGTGCATTGTTTTCCAAGAGCCTTGAAATTTCAGTGAGCCAAATAATACTGCAAGATTTTTGGAGACTGAGAAATTTTCTATGCTACTCCAATGATTTATCAGCTGCACAGGATGTTTCTGGGCTCATCTAGTGCTTTTTTGACTTGGGACCAAGATTTTAGAAAGAATTTATATTCCTACATCTCTCAGTTTGAACTATGAAAGCTTTTTCAAAGGTTGTTTTATTCTATTTCCTTGCTCCTGACAAGTGAAGTGAAGAAAATAGAATATTTTCCCTGCAAAGGAGAACAGTATTATATAGCTAATTTTGTTATTTGGCCATCGTGAATATTATTTTATTCCTCAGTCTTTTTAATATCCATTACATTTTCATTTTGTATTGTAAATGTTGTGGATTCTTAGTCACATTGTGAGTCTTATTTCACTCCATGCTATTTTTGTTGTTGTTGTTGTTGTTGCTGTTGTTGTTGTTACAGTTTATAGTCATAATTTTAATTACAGATATAAAAAGACCTGATACTGTATTCTGCATTTGGGAACCTGGAAATATTATTGAAGATTTTATAGAGATGCAATAAATAAATGAATACATACATACGAGGGTAATCCTGCCGCTACACAAATGTCATGTGAATGATCTACACATTTGTAAAACATCATTCTGGCACCAGGAAACCTATATAGATTTTATCATTGGTAGCCATTAGGGTCATGAGTAATATGAACCTTAGCTCAATCCAATTGCAGTTGCTCCAGATGGGAGAATAGCTATTCTGAAATGTTTTTAAGCCTCAGGATAAGGATAACAATGAAAAGGTGTACTGAGAAATGTATTTAATAATAAAATATATAGCAATACATAAGTAGGATTAGTCTTCTTCATCTTCATCTCCTTCTTCTGAACTTCTGTAGATATAAAAGGAATAAAAGATGATATTACAATGTGGTTATAAAACTGCATGTTCTTCTAATCAGTCTGTTCAACTTTTGTCAAGCTATTATTATTATAACTGATTCAGTACCTTTATTCTCAGATGCTTCTAAACTAATATCCATATATTGAGGTGCCATTATTTTTTTGAGAAGAGCAAGAATTTCAGTATTTCAGAGCTGCATTTCAACAACACTATCACAGCCAGTTGCTTTAAGAGAAAAGGCCCTGGTAACAACCCATAGAATCTTCTCACAATAGCTACTTTGGGTCTGGCAGCATCACTTTCTTTCTACGATAAGGGAGATGTGAAGCCTTAAGGCCGTGATAGCTAACCTTTTTGGCACTGAGTGCCAAAAGTGTGCGCATGTGCACGTGCCCACCTATAATGCAATGCGTCATGATTCCCCTTTGCATCCCCCTCACATGTGTGCGCAACCCCCTACTTGCACCCCAGACGTGCCCGCGTGGGCCCCCGCACTCGCCCCACCCCACACACCTGTGTGTGTAACCCTCACGTGCACCCCACCCTCACCCGCATATGTGCATGTCACCCACGTGTGTGCACCCTGCCCCTTAAGCATGCGTGCACATCTCCCGTATGCACCCCGCACATGCGCAGCAGAGACCCAAAAACCAGCTGGCTAGCAGGAGGTGCACGCACATGCTCAGCGGAACTGAACTGCAGCGACGATGCACGTGCCCACAGAGAGGGCTCTGCGTGCCACCTGTGGCACACGTGCCATATGGTTGCCATCACAACTCTAAGTTGAGCAGTAAGTTTCCAGAGGCCTCATATTGGCTTTCCAACAAGATTGAGGAAAGAAATACTGGGTTCGGGCTTCTCTTTTTTGATGTGTTTGAATGAAATTAATAAATGTTAAATAAATATTATAAGCCACCTGGAATTATGTATATGTGAGTTGGGCAATTATATACATTTGTTTAATAAATAAATGAAATGCATGACTATTTCTATCTCCCTGTAAACAAGCATTGGTACTAAATAAAATATTTCAATAGGAGGAATACAATACAATACTATTCCTAGTAAACCAGTGTTTGGGAGGTTTCTTATTGTGGCATCTGAATGTACTGTAAATGTATTTAGGAGTAAAACACACTATATCGTCTGGGGTCCATCTGTGAATTGGTTATACAGATCAGGATGCATATTCTTGTATCAAAACGAGAATTGTAACAGGCAGAACACAATATTATCTTGCCTACTGAGATATTTTAACAAGTCTTTTGAGTTTCTGTTTGTTTTTCACTTCTCAACAATCCTGGAATCTTTTCCTCTAGTTTGCCAACTCAGCCTCATCCTGCACATCGCAGTACTTTCTGTTCTGAGTAGTACAGTTAATTACTAGTATGCAGTATCGCAGGCTAACTCTTCCCACAGTCAAAAGTTATACCCTGACTGGCACAAGGTTGGTATACCCTGCTCTTCTGAGGTTGGTATTGCCGCCATTTTGTTGAGGGCATTATTCTGACACTATAAACAGCTCAGAGAGTGCTGTAAAGTACTGTGGGGTTGTATACAAGTCTAAGTGCTATTGCTTTTGCTAATTCTGTTGTAAGATACTAGCTTCTTTGACAGAAAGCAATGATTGACTTCTAAATCTGCATTTCCAGTTTCTATTAAACCGAGCTAATATGAAAATGTCATTATATATTTTAACATACATTGGAAAATATGATCCCCCAAACCGAATATATTAAGAAAATCTGAAATGTCAGGTATTCATGTGCAAATTGTTATATTCTCTCCATGAATTGCAGTGTTGCTAGGCTAGATTTTTTCAGAAAGGAGATACATTTTCTCTGAGGAAATCTAGACAAACACTAAAAATAATTAGTGGATATAAAAAAAAAATATCCTATTTTTTTATATCCACTAAACATACCTTTGCTTTGTATGTCCTGTATTCTAGCAGTCACACACACACACACAAATCTTCTAGGAAAAAAATCTCCATTCCTTCTTTATATTTTGAGAGAGGAATAATAGTTTTATTGTTTGTTTTATTTTAGATTTCATGCTATTTTAATTATATAGTGCTCTAGCAGTGGGCTTATTAATTTACCAAGCATTTCCATTTCTAAAAAGAGCCATTTGTCCAAACGTTATCACAAGTTTTCTGATTATTCTTCAAAGAGTAAATATAGGATCCAATTTAAATACAAATGCAAAAGCAAAACTGAAATATCTGTTAGAATCAGATAGATAGAAAAATGATAGGAAATTACACCCACATGTATGCAACAGAAACATACAATGAATATACACTGAAAGGTGCGACTGCTCCCTTTTGTAATAGGGATTTGGTACTCCAGAACAGGAAAAGGTAAAAAGTTGTTGCTCTTTTGTATTTTTTCTCCTTCCTTTTCCTATTTCCTACTAGAAATATTTGTTTCTATTGTTGAAGAATAAAATAAGATGGTGAGATTATGAGATGTTTGAGACATTAAGTATCTTATAATGCATTCTGGACTTCAAAAATTCCTAAAGAGAAATACTCCTGACTTGCATACTGAAGCTACTTACGTTTTCTTTGACGTAGCTTCAGTTCCTTCTTCTTCTGAAGCCCTGGTTAAAAGAAAAATTAAAAGCAGAATTTAAGTATTGTTCTGGCAGCAGTTGAATATTTTATCTTCACCTGGTCAGCTTGCCCTAGTCATTTATCTGTTTATTTATTCAACTTAATTGCCACTCATCTTCTTCCTAAGCAAGCCTGGGAGGCTTACACCATAAAAGATAAACATTTCTAAGATTATAAACCTTTGTGGTGCAGCAGACTAAAGTGCTGTTAAGTAGCACCAGCTGCCTGCAATTACTGCAAGTTCAATTCTCACCAGGCTCAAGGTTGACTCAGCCTTCCATCCTTCTGAGGTAGGTAAAATGAGGACCCGGATTGTGGGGGCAATAAGCTGACTTTGTATAAAAAAGAACACCACTTGGGGGGGGGGGCTGAAAGCCCTACTAAGCAGGTATATACAAAAGTATGAAGGCTATTGTTTAATGCATTGTAAGCCGCCCTGAGTCTCTGGAGAAGGGCGGCATATAAATTGAATAAACAAACAAACAAACAAACAAACAAACAAACAAACATAAAAACGGCTATAATCAAAGACAAAGTTAATAAATAAAAAATAACTAAAAGATAAAAGATGGGGAAGGAGGAAGCAGGATGCTCAGTAGGAGGGGAGGAGGTGGGATTGCCTCTTAATTCACCAGCCACCTCCAGTGTCTCTTGTTGGGGCCCCAAAGCCATCTGGCAGAGTCAGGTCTTCAGGTCTAACTGTATGGAAGGTCTGAAGGGTGGGAGACAATCTCACCTCAAGGGTAAGTTGCCCCAAAGGGCAGGAGCCACAGCAAAGAAGGTCCTTCTCCTAAACCCTAGCAGCCACAATTCCTTGACTGATGAGGCCTGAAGCTTGCCTCTCTGCTGATGTGAGTGGGGTGGGCCAGCCTCAACGGGGCAAGACTGTTCCTCAAGTAACCTGGATCTATACCATGCAGGGCTTTAAAGATAATAACCAACTCTCTGAATAGCACCCAGAATGCTCTTAGAATCTGAAATGTGTTCAGCTACTAAAAAATGGACCCTTTATTGTTCCAGATTATTTTATACTATTAGAGTACAGGAGGAATTAGGTGTTACAAATCTGTGTGCAGTATATTTTATATTTAGTTTATATGTGCAAAGGTTTTTAGGTGTGTAAAATTGTTGATTTTAATAACAATGAAACTGCAATAGTAACAGTACAAATTAGATGTTGTTTTAAACAAATGCATTAGAAATAAATTGGGGGAAAAAAGTTCTAAGTTAAAGAACAGCTCTTGACAGACTATACTACTCACTCAGTCTTTGGAGAGCTTTCACTGGTGGGCGTCTCTTTTTCAGACCTGACAAAGAACAAAAAAACATTTTAACAGAATAGAAGTTAAAAAGAATTCTGCTGCAGCTAAGATTGTCTCCTTCTCAATAAAACAATTTATATTGTTTTATTTGTTTCCTGGTATGATTTGATTGCTTATTAGTAACCTATGACTATCAGTGTTGTATCTTACGATTCTTGATAAATGTATTTTATTTTATTTTTCTTTGTGAACACTGAGAGCATATGCACCCAAGACAAATTCCTTGTCTATCCAATCACACTTGGCCAATAAAGAATTCTATTCTATTCTATTTCCAGGAAATATCTTGGAGGAAAAAGGTTATAAGTTAAATAACAGCCCTTGAGAGACTCTACTACTCACTCAGTCGTTGGTGAGGGTTCACTAGTGGGCGTCTCTTTTTCAGACCTGACAAAGAACAGAAAAATATTTTAACAGAACAGAAGTTAAAAAGAATTCAGCTCTAGCTAAGATTGTCTCCTTCCCAATAAAACAATTTATATTGTTTTATTTGTTTCCTGGTATGATTTGATTGCTTATTAGTAACCTATGACTATCAGTGTTGTATCTTATGATTCTTGATAAATGTATTCTATTTTATTTTTCTTTGTGAACACTGAGAGCATATGCACCCAAGACAAATTCCTTGTCTATCCAATCACACTTGGCCAATAAAGAATTCTATTCTATTCTATTTCCAGGAAATATCTTGGAGGAAAAAGGTTATAAGTTAAATAACAATCCTTGAGAGTCTCTACTACTCACTCAGTTGGTGAGGTTTCACTAGTGGCTGTCTCTTTTTCAGACCTGACAAAGAAGAGAAAGGTGTTTTAACAGAACAGAAGTTAAAAAGAACTCTGCTACAACTGAGATTGCGTCCTTCCTACGGACACATTACCCTGGGAGGGATAATAGCTCTTTTCTTTTCAAACTTCTTAAAATGCAAGGAAGTTTTAGATTGGATTTTCTCAACCTCAGAAACTTTAAGATGTTAATATTAAGCATGGCTGGCTAGGGAATTTTGGGAATTGACATCCACTCATCTTAAAGGTTCTGTGATTGAGAAACATGCTGTAGATAAATTGTCCTCTGGAACGTGGCTACCATGAGCTCCAATCTATTGGAGAATTTTGTTCTCCTGAGCAAATTAAACCAAATATTGCTCCATCCCAATTTGCTTGCCTATAGATAGGGCTAGGAATTTTGAGTGGCCTCTCCTCTTAGTATAGCAACTATGAAACACAATCAGTTTATATAAATATGATTAAGAAATTCAATAGCAATAGCACTAAGACTTATATACTGCTTCACAGTGCTTTACAGAGTCAAGTTTACGGAGTCAGCATATTGCACCCAACAATCTGAGTCCTCATTTTAATGACACTGGAAGGGTGGAAGGCTGAGTCAATCTTGAGCCAGACAGGATTGAACTCCTGGCAGTGACCAGTTGAGTTAGCCTGCAATACTGCATTCTAACCACTGTGCCATTATGGCTCTTTCATAAACTGAATGAATTAGAATCTCTGGGTGAATCTACCTTTAAGTAAAGGAATACTATCCGACAGATATAAGTATACAGATACTCACAGTTTCTTTGAACTGGCCTTTTTAACAGGAGCGGGAGCAGGAGCAGGAGCAGGAGCGGGAGCGGGAGCGGGAGCAGGAGCGGGAGCGGGAGCCGGAGCGGGAGCCGGAGCGGGAGCCGGAGCCGGAGCCGGAGCCTTAGCCGGAGCTGGAGGTTCAGTTGCTGCTGGTGGGGGTGGTGGCATTATCTCCCTAGGTAGATAAAATAGAAACAGAGATTAATCCAAGTTTAAATGGTTAATAAAGAACAAAATTGTGATCTTTTATTTCCTTATGTGAATCCAGCATTTCACGATTTCTTTTTTTTTTGTGAAAAACTTTTTTATTTTTAAACAAAACTTAAAACATAAAACAATTATCATCCATTACAATTACAGAAAGTGTATTGATCGGTTATAAATCTTTTGTGCTTAATCCTCTATCCAACATTTTCTTATTTAACAATTTATTACATTATTATTCTCATTTACCAATTATTTAACAGTAAATTATCCTCCATAAGGGGAAAAAAACCCCTTTATATGTTTTATTATCTTATCCATTTCATATTTCATATTTCATTTCCATTCTTTCTTGTCTAACCATTGATAAAATAAATCCCATATCAAATAATATTGTTTATCTTCTTGTTCCCTAATTTCAAATGTCAATTTACTCATTTCAGCACACTCCAAAATTTTCTTGATAATATCGTCATCCGTGAGTATCTTCTCTCCTTTCCAGTTTTTAGCAAATACAATTCTAGCTGCCATTAAAACATTCACAATTAAATATCTCATTTCTCTATTGTATATTTCTGGTAAAATCCCTAATAAAAATATCTCTAGTTTAAAGTCAATATGTTTCTTTGTCATTTTTTCCAACCATTTGTGGATTTTAGTCCAATATCTTTTAGCTTCTGCGCATGTCCACCACATATGGTAATATAAGCCCAGAGTCTGATGACACTTCCAACATTTCTCCGATTTATTCTTGTACATTCTGGCTATTCTTGCTGGAGGTAAATGCCACCTGTAAAACATCTTATACAAATTTTCCTTATATGCTGTTGACATTGTCATTTTATAATTCTGCAACCATAATTTTTCCCATTTCTCTAAGTCAATCCCATGACCCACATTTTTCCCCCATGCAATCATTGTTTCTTTAACTTGTTCTTCTGCCAATTTTACTTCTAATAAATGACTGTACAATTTTTAAATTACATGGTCATCAGAACCTGTTAAGATTTTATCTAAATTTGTCAAGTTACTATAAAAACCTCCATTTTAGAATCTTCATCATATCTAGATTGTATTTGCATATATGAAAACCAATCCATTTCAAACTCTTGTTCTTCTAGTTCTTGCTTCGACTTAAGTTCACCCCTTTCATTTAATAATTCACCATATCTAACAATTTGTTCCTTTCTAAATGTTATTGCATGTGAGACTGCTTCAATAGGTGATAACCAGACTGGAATTTTTAAATAGTAACATTGTTTGATCTTCTCCCAGTTTAATAACAAAGATTCTCGTATCATATGCCTTCTGAAATAATCCTGTACTTTTGTACTTTTATACCACATAAAAGTGTGCCAACCCAACAATAAATCATGTCCTTTTAAAGTCAACAATCTAATATTCCTTAGCGTTATCCATTCTTTAATCCACATCAAGTTACAAGCTTGATAATATAATTCCCAATCCGGCAAACCAAAACCTCATCTTGATCTAACATCTTGCATCAATTTTAGTTTTATCCTTGCCTTTTTGCCCTGCCATATATATTTTAACACCATTTTATTTAAATCTTCAAAATATTTTTTTTCCCAACTTAATTGGAATTGTCTGAAATAAATATAAAAGTCTGGGCAGTATATTCATTTTAATAGTTGATATTCTCCCTATCAATGATAGCTGCAAATTCTCCCATTTTGTTAGATCTGTTGCTATCTGTTGTTTAAGCTTATCATAATTATTCTCCTTAAGAGTACCACATTTTGCTATCAAATGTATTCCCAAATATTTAACCTTATTCGTGACCTGCATCCTTGATACTTCCGCCAATTCTTCTTTCTGTTTTTTTAACATATTTTTTGTCAACATCTTCGTTTTGTCTTTATTTATTTTCAAACCAGCCACTTTCCCAAAATCTCCTATTTTGTCTATCAATTTGTTTACAGATTGAAGTGGTTCTTCCAAGATAAACACCAGGTCATCAGCAAATGCTTGCAATTTATATTCTTGATTTTGAATTTTCATTCCTTTTATTCCTTTTTCTTCTCTAATATTTCTGTTTAGTACTTCTAATGTTAACACAAACAACAGTGGTGACAATGGATGACATTGTCTCGTTCCTTTTTGTATTTCAATAAATTCTGTCAGCTCTCCATTCATCATTATTTTTGCTGTTTGTTTATAATATATAGCTTCTAGAGCTTGGACAAATTTCTCTCCAAAGCCCATCTGTTTCAATTGTAGTATCATAAATTGCCAGTTCACATTGTCAAAGGCTTTCTGTGCATCTAAAAACATCAAAGCCATTTGCTTTTCTGGGTGCGCATCATAATATTCCAATGTATCCAAAATTATCCTCAAATTGTCTCTAATCTGCCTTTTTGGCAGAAATCCATTTTGATCCGGGTGTATAAAATTATTTAAATATCTTTTAAGTCTTTCTGCTAGTATTGTAGCGAAGATTTTATAGTCTGAGTTTAGCTAGGATATAGTTTTTGACTTGTTGTAGGTCGGTATCTTCTTTTGGAATAAGTGTAATATAGGCTTCTAACCATGAGTTGGGTATTTCCTTCTGTAGCATTACTTCATTCATAATTTCTAGTAATGGGAGACCCAGTGATTCCTGCAAAGTCTTATAATATTCCGCTGGTAATCCATCTGGACCTGGTGCTTTCCCACTTTTTTGTTTTTTAATTGCTTCTGTCAACTCCATCATTGTTATATTCCCTTCTAACATCATCTCAACATCTTTTGGAATCTGAGGTAAATTCGCCTTATTGTTTAAAATATTGTTTAATATTTTCCTCTTCTATCTTTTCTTTTTCATATAGTTTTTTATAATAGTCTTGTACAATGTTCTTCTTCTCCTCATTTCCAAATCTAATTTGTCCTTGATCATCTATTAACTGTGTTATTTTCCTTGAGTTCCTTTCTTTTTTCAATTTATATGCTAGCCATCTGCCTGGTTTATTAGCATCTTCAAAATATTTCTGTTTAGCGTTCCTGATTTTTTGTGCTAGCTCTTCTTTCTCTAATAATCCCATTTTATGTTTAATCGTGTCCATTTTCATTTTAATGTCTTTTTTTGTGGGAACTTCTGCAGTTCTTTTTCTAATGTCTTATAATCATCCTCTAGAATTTTATATGCTTGCCTTTTCTTAATATTTCTTTTCCTTGTATAGTCAATAATCAGGCCTCTGGCATAAGCTTTCATGGTATCCCATCGGTTCTGCAGTGATGTATCCTCTTTTCTATTTTCTTTGGAAAAAAAAGCTAATTCTTTCTTCATGTTCTGTAGGAAATCCTTTTCTTTTAATATTGTAGTGTTTAAAGTCCATCTAGACCTTATCCTTTGTCCTTTCCATCTCATCATCATTGGATTATGATCTGCCCAAGTATTAGCCTCTATGGCTATTTCTTCTATGTTCGAGGTCAAGTCCATTGTCAACCATATCATATCTATTCTGGACCATGATAAATGTCTATTGGAATAAAAAGTATATTGTCTATTTTTTACATTTCTTTCTCTCCATATATCTTTTAAATTTATTTCCTCTATCACCTTAAAAAAAGATTTCAGCGAAGTTTTCCTACTTTGTTTTGTTGTCTTTTGTGTATTATAGTCCATTTTCTCATCTACTATTCCATTGAAGTCTCCCATCATACAGATGTTGTCATAGTCCAACTCTATTAATTTCAAATGTAATTTTCTGTAGAAATTTTCTTGACTGTCGCTAGGAGCATATATCGCTGTTAGCAATATTTTCCTATTGTTGTCTGTCATTTCCACCATCAAAATTCGTCCTTCTCCATCTTCATAAATTTTTTCTGCTAATATTATATCTTTAATATACAAAACCATTCCTCTTTTCTTACACTGTGGCAGTGAAGCAAATAATTTCCCTAATTTAGGCTGTACCAAAAGTAATTCATGCTGAGTTTTAATATGCACTTCTTGTAAGCAGATTATATCCATTTTCAATTTCTCCAATTTGTGAAATATTTTTCTTCTTTTAGTTGCTATATTAAGTCATTTATATTTATTGTAATTAACTTTTTCTCCTCCATGTTTATACTTTATGTGTTGGTTTTGTTGATCTATTCGGTCTCAGTTCACATTGTTCTTTGTATTCTATAGCACCTCCTACTGTGCCTTCTAATGCGCTCTCCTCCTTTCCCATCATCAGGAGATCCTCTTCTTGTAGTTGGAGCAGTGTCTCTTCCCTTCTTGATTCAGCATCTTTTCTCTTATATATTCCACAAGGAATGCTTTAGCTTTGTCAATTGAATCTATTTTAAATCTTTGCGTTTGCCATGTAAACACCAATCCTTCTGGTATCAGCCATCTGTAGTTCAGTCCTTTCTGGAGCAGTATTTTTGTCAAAAATTGATACTCTCTTCTCAGCTCTCTTACTCTTCTCGGTATTTGCTTCAGCACCATAATTTCCTTGCCCTTGTATTGCAACGCCTTCTCTTTTGCTGTCTGCAATATTTGTGTTTTAATTGATTTTTTAGTAAATCTTATGTGGACTTCTCTTGGTAGTTTATTTCTCATTGCATATCTAGTATATACTCGGTATATTTCGTCAACGCCATCAGACATTTTTTCTTTAGAAATTTCTAGAGTTCCTGCAAGAATTTCTATCATTTTTTCCGCCAAATTTTCTCCTTTTTCTTCCTCCACATTTTGGAATCTTAAGTAAAATTCTGATTTATCCATCTCCCATGCTAAGCCACTTCTATCATGTTCAACTCCTTCTAATCTATTATCCATATCTCTGATTTTTTTATTTCTTTATTCCTCTTTTTCTTCAATTTTTTCAAGTCTGTCTTCATATTTCTTCATCATCTGTTGTACATTCTCCACTTTTTCATGTTTTCTCTATTTTTGATTTTATATCTTGTATTCCTTGCAAAATCATCTGCATTGTCGCATCCTTTTCTTTCTCACGTTCTTTCTCTTTTTCCTGCTGAATCATTGTCTGTATTGATCGTTGTCCTCCCGCTGGTGATGAAGAGGGGGTCGATCCAGCGGAGCTAATAACTGCTGCTTTTTTGCTCATTTCTATAAGTAATCCAACTCGACACAGTGAGATAATATATCTTCAGGTTCTTCTCAACCCTAATCCGTTTTGTACATGGCAGGAGATTAAAAAAGGATAAAAAGAAAAAAGAAAAAAACAGAAAAGAGACCAAAAAAAGGAAAAAAGGAAAAAGAAGAAAAGAAAAAAAAAATACCCCAAAAACCCAACACTCTTCAGGCTCTTGTGTGCCCTAATCCAATCATCTAGGATAGCCAAAAACAAATTCAAGTAAGAATCTCCAATGAGCAAGTAAAAAAAGAAAAAAAGAAAAAAAAGGGCCAAAAGAGAAAAAGGAAAAGTTTCTTCAGACTCTTGTATGTCTTAATCCAATTGTGTAAAATAGCCAAAAACAAATTCAAATAACAGTCTCCAATCAGTAAATTAAAAAGATAAAAAAAAAAAAATCTTCAGGCTCTTATGTGCCTTAATCCAATTAAGTAAACACTTATTCCATTTCACAATTTCTCTAAAGGTAGCAACAATTGTGTATTTGCTCATAAGAATCCTTAAATGGTTTTGCTGCAAAACCCAGGGCCTCAGCTTTGTTGAATTTGAAGTCTAGCTTTTCCAAAATGTCTAAGCAGACTTTTCTAGCTTTTTTCAAGCCTTTGATTCTTATATACATTCATTTATTTTACGTATTCTGATTCTGCTTCAGCTTGTTGATCCATAGTTCAGAGTGTGACTTAAAGGATAACTGGGTTAAACTGTTGGACCAGGTGTGGGGAGACCCAAGTTCAAATCTCCACAAATGTCACGGAGCCCTCTGAATAATTTGGAGCCAGATTTTGGTAGATTTATCTCAGCTACTTCCTGAGATAAATCTACCTCACAGGTTTATTGCTGTTGGGATAAAATAAGTGGGGACTCCCCTATATGCTATCTTGAGTCCACAGGAAAAGAAATGGTAAAACATATATCCAACAAATAAGAACATAAACAAATATGTCTCTAACTTTGGTACTAGAAATGGATTAGCTTTCTGGAAACACCAATGGTTCATGTCTCCTCTATGCCTCGAGAAACAATCCTACAGGATAGGATGCAATAGAATAACAAATTCATTTTAGCCAATGTAAAAATTATATATGTCCTTGAACAAAATAGAATCTGATCCCAACATAAAGGATTTCTATTGCAGTTCTTTTAAAGCCTTAAAGCTCTAAGGCACATCTTAAAGGCACAGTTGTTTGTTTAATTGGTTCTGCACCCAGATGGCATTCTTGCTCTAAATTAACCAGTTTTGAGGGGTTTACATAAAGATTTTTGGTGGATTTATTTATTTAACTATCATTGTTTGTGTGCATGCCTTTATATCAATGTTGACTTCTGGCAAATGTCTGGCCTGTCTCTGCAGTTTTCTTGGAAAGATTTTGGAAGTGGTTTGCTATTGCCTGCTTCCTAGGACTGAGAGAGTGACTGACTCAAGGTCACCCTCCTGGCTTAATGCCCAAGGTGATACTAGCTGATAACCCGGTATTGCCCGGATATTTAGTTATCCCAATCCTGTATTAGACAGAAAAAGACCTAATTGCCCTGGCCAACAGCCTGGGAAAAATTCTACAGGGAACAGCCTTTGAGGTGATTATCTGCATTAGCAGGCACCTCCCCCAACAACTTGCCCTCTTTGCTTGAAGCTGAGGGCCCAGGGGGTTTATTTTTTGTTTGTTTGTTTGTTTAAGAACCAATCCCCCTTACCAGAGGGAGCCCCTTGTGAAGCCGTTACCATAGCAACTCCATTGTGATGTACATTAGAAGCCATTTTAAGGCACAACAGGCTGTATCTTAACAGCCTGTTAATACAAAATGCACATTATCGCTGTCAAAAGTATTGTGATTTGACACTATAGATATAATTCCTTTCTTTTCATTTCAGCAGCCCATTCATTCCAGAGTTATGATTGAACACACACACACACACACACACACACACACACACACACACACACCCTGAGGGGTGTTAGGGCTGTGTAACCCCCACAGAATTTGTTTCCAGAGAGTAAGTCATCTGTGTACCAAGTTTGGTTGAAATTGCTTCAGCTATTCCAGAGTTATGTTGGAACACACACAGACACACACAACAGGGGTGTCTTAACCCCCACCCCCCCATATTTGTTTCCAGAGAGTAATATATACACACACATACATAGATCCTTGCTATGGAGCTCTAAATTTTAAACAGGAAAACAACATTAGTAATAGTTTTGTAGTATATGTAGTAACTCACGTTACTTTCGCAGGAAAAGGCCCAGGTATTTCTGGAGATCTGATAAAGAGCAGAAATTACACAGTTTGTTCTTCAACAATAAGATCTAAGTTTTTTTTTTTTTGCAACTTGTATGGTTTGTTCTTCATGTACAGCTTTTGTACATGACGGTTGTAAACAAACCTATTTTCATAACAATATTACACACATGGGTTCTGCAGTGGTGTATGCCCATGTTTAGAGAAAATAGCCATTGCCAGAAAACCTAACCCAGCAAACTACAGAAGCAGTAAATGAAGAGAACATTCAAATTTTGCAGTCAACAAGGGCAACATCTGCAATTGCGTACATTTTTCATTCTTGCAGATATGTTGTGGCATTTCTATGGAATGCCAGACTTTTTACCTTTATAAGAAATAATTCTATGGCTGCCCATCTTAAACAAAATTCTGGGTAATAATAACAATAAAATTAATAAACCATAAAATAAAACTATTAAACCATAAAATGAAAACAAAAACCAGGCTTCACAGTCAATCCTTTGGGATGTTTCACCACCAGCTTCAGATATTCTTTTTCCATCCCTGTACTTGGGTTTGCTGAATGTTTTTTTGGGGGGTTGGGGGGAGAATGTTCCATAAGGTAGCAACAGCCACAGAAAAAGGCACACCTCCGATCTCCCACTAGATGGGAAGACTTCAGGAAAGGACCTGGAGTGTACCTACCCTATCTGATCTAGTAGGAAGGGCAGATTCTGTCAGGGAGAAGCAATCCTGCAAATATCTTGATCTTTGCCATGTAGGGATTTAAAGGTGACAGCCAGACGCTTGAATTACACTCAGAAGAAAACTGGGAGCCAACACAGCTCGTACCACAGAGGTGTAGGTTTGGCAAACCTAGGGCTGCATGTGCCACTGGTTTTGAGGCCAGTTGCAGCTTCTGAGTTGCCTTCAAGGGCAGTTGAAGTGATCCTCAAGGGCAGCCCCATGTAAAGCCATCGCAGTGATCTCATTTTGGACAAATCCAAATTTGTTCCATGAATTTTGTAATGAAAAATATAAAGATATTCCCTAAACTGCAGAATGGGATGATTCCCTCTCTAGTTTTACTTTGGTCATGTCCTGCAGGGGAGTTCACTGGAGAATGTAATTACATTTAGAAGAGTCAGTGGTAAAAGGAAGCCAGGCTGTCAAAGAACATGGTGGCTGGACACTATCAAAGTCTGACATCAACCAGAGCAGACAAAAACTCAACGAAGTAGTGCAAGATAGGAAGATGTGGTGAGATCCTGTCCATAGAATTGCCAAGAGTTGGACATGATTAAATGCCTCCACCTCCTCCTCCTCCTCCTCCTCCTCCTCCTCCTCCTCCTCTTCCTCATGTTGCTTTGTGAATTTTTTTCTTGTAATATGTGCTAAAGGGGAAAAAAGAAAAGTAAAATACCTTGCGCTTTCACGATTGAATATCTCTTCCTCTTCGGAGGATTCTTCATCATCAGATTTATCACTGCTGTATTTTTTGCCTACTTTATCAAGAGATTGATACATATCCTTAAGCCAAGGAGGCTTGTCGAAAGAAGATGCTGAAATCTAAGCATGAGGAAAGGATGTGAAAAAATGATAACAAAACTTCAGTCTGAGATTTTAATGTTCGTGTTGCATTATCATTTTATTTATATCTCAGATTAAAATTCCAGATTCTGGAATGGAGGTTCTTCCTGAAGAAATATGTGGCTAGCAAATTAGAGCAAACTTAACTGTGAACTCCTAATTAGGACACAGGTTTTAGCTCCCTCTTTATTTATGATAGACAATTCTGGAATGTATTTTGTACTTCTGCTAATTAGTGTTAGTAGCCAGTAACATTAGTAGTTAGCTGCAGTTTAAAGATTTCTTTCAGTATTAGCATTCCTAAACTTTGCAAGTGTTGTTATCTTTAATATATGTTATTTAATTTGAGCTTAATTATGATGTATGAAATAAATGTGTGCCTTAATGTTGTATGGAAATAAAGATTTTTATCACTTCATCTGTTCATTACAACTCTGATTTTAGTGAATTGTTACTATTATTCTTTTAGGATTGTTTCAAAAGATCTATCTTGCTTCATGCATGCTATCTCCCACATTAATGGGTTTGACAGAATTGGATAAGATACAGTAGTTGCAAAATCTTCCAAAGTCATGTTTGTTCATCTTGGTATATTTAATAAGTCACAAATGGTTGTAGCAAAATTTTCTCCTGAAAAAATGCCATAGTAATAGTGATACACAAAATACATAAAACTGTAAGATATGGTTTATACATCTGACTCAATACACTTCACACATTCAGTCAGATTTTCCCTTCAGGTTTTGTGAATCCAGCCATTGGATTTATTATGGATTTATTCCATAAATAATTTTCTGATTATCCACAGTTTAGTGCAACGTGGGAACTATGTCATAAAAATGCCTATCAAAATAGTTCAAAATATTGTTTTTTTCCTAAATACTATAGCATCTATTTGGACATTTCAAATTGTGACTTATCTAGAAATCACAGGTGTAGGAGAGGCTGGGCTCCAGACCATTGGCTGTTACAACAGCCTCTTCTCATTCTACAGAGAGAAACTAGAGTGGTTCTGAATTACTTCTACTTGAGCAGAAAATAAGGATGCTTCCTGTTCCTCAAGGCAACTGATTGGCTTACAGGATCCAGAAGAAATGGTGAGAAGCCAGGGAAACTGGCAACTTCAGGAGGAATGGCTGGGAAGCTGCCATCTTTATCCATAGTACTGTCAATATGGAGTGATTATCCTGCCTGGCTTAAATGACTTTAAAACTCAATGAGTGACTTTAAAACAGAAAAGCTACGTTTAGATGGATAGCTAGAGACTTCACTTACCAAGTAAAAGCCAACCTATGTTAAACACTGCACCCAAGCCTGAAGCATATTTACTCAGAAGTAAGTCTCATTGAGTTTAATATACTCCCAAAATGACAGGATTATATTTATTTATTTAAACAAATTTAAGTAACCAACCAACAGCTGTTGTTGTTGTTGCTATTATTTTTGTTGTTGTTGTTGTTATTTACTTTATTCATTAAACATGAAACAGTCAACTGAACATTTAAAAATGCATCACAAATACCATTGACTGGTGCTAATGGTTGATATGGGTTGCTGTCAGCATCCTAAGTATCAACCAAGTATCTTCTTAAGATGTACAATGTTCCAACTAGCACAGTTTTTTGCAGTTCCGCTGGTGTTATTGCAGGAAGCTGCAATTCGTCGATGTATCATAAAATTCTTGGACATGGTACCTAGTGCTCCGATGACAATGGGTATCACTGTTACATGTTTCATCCATAGTCGTGTAGTTTCGATGGTCAGGTTGCGATATTTCATGATTTTTTCCAGTTCTTTTTCTTCGACTCTGGCATCTCCTGGTGCCGCGATTTCAATAAATTATACGTTTCGGTTTTCGATAACTGTGATATGTGGCATGTTCTGTTCCAAGTGATGATCCATCTGTATTCAAAATTCCCACAAGATCTTCACCTTGTCATTTTCTATAACTTTTTCCACTTTATGTTCCTATGACTTTTTGGATACACGTAAATTGTATTTTTTACATAATGACCAGTGGATTAATTTAGCAACTCGGTGGTGTCTAGCTTGTAATCAGTTTGTGCGATTTTGCTGCACTCACATATTAAATGTGAAACAGTTTCAACTTTGTTGTTGCAAAGTCGGCAGTTTGGATTGTCGGTGGATTTTTATATCTTTGCTTTCATGGCATTAGTTTGTAGTGCTTGTTCTTGAGCAGCGAGTATTAAACCTTCCATTTCTTTCTTGATGGTTCCCATCTTAAGCCATGCCCATGTAAAGTTGTCATCACATTTTCCTTCAATGTTTTTCAAGTGCTGTCCATGCAAAGCTTTAGTTTTCCATCTATTTAATCTGTCATCCAGCTGTTTTTCCTTATATTCTGCCTTTGTTTCTGTTGTTTTTATAATGTTCTCTGTTTTCACAGCCTGCAGCAATTTTTCTGTACCTTGGTTCACATAATCATTCAAACTTCGTTTTTCTTCTTCTACATTTTGATGGATTTGCAATAGCCCTCTGTCCCCTATTTTTCATGGCAGGTACAACTTATCGATGTCACTTTGTGGATGTAAAGCGTGGTACATATTCAAAAATTTGTGTGTTTTCCGGTCCAAGTTTTTCCAGTTCAGCCAAAGTCCAGTTGATTATTCCAGCTGAGTAGCATATCACTGGAACTGCCCATGTATTAATGCCTTTAATTATGTTTCCAGCATTCAGCTTTGATTTTAATATTTTGCCGACCCTCCTGATGTATTCCTTTTGTGTTGACTCTTGACTTTTCCATTCAAGATGTTATCTGCTTCCAATATGCCGAGGTGTTTGTAACCATCATCCTTTGCTAATGCTTTTACTATGTTTCCATTTTCCAGTTCTATTCCTTCTATTTTTTCCATTTTTCCTTGCTGCGTGGATAATATAGAATATTTTTCAAGTCCAAAGTTCATTTTGATGTCACTGCTGAATAGTTGAAGCTAGTTGAGTATTGATTTAAATTCAGTGGAGCTTTTTGCATACATTTTTAAGTCATCCATGAATAGTAGATGGTTTATCTTGCCATGTTGGCTTGAGATTGGTATCCCAGTTTTGTGTTTTGTAGGATTATTGTCAATGGAATTAATGCAATGTTGAACAGTAGTGGTGAAAATGAGTCCCCTTGGAAGATTCCTTATCTGATGTTGACTTCACCAATGTTCTCCCCATTTGCTGTTGATTTTTTATAATAATTTAATATAATTTTCCCTTTTTGTTCTACTGGATACAAACTGTTTTCCATTAGATGATTGAATACTGAATTTGCCAGTATTCTTGTAAAAAGTATGTTGTTTGCAGACAAGTAATTGGGCGATAGTTGCTTGACTCTGTGCCCTTTTCTGGATCTTTCACTATCAAGTATGTTCAACCAGCTATTAACCATTCTTCACTTGTTGCATTTTGAAGCATTTGATCATATTGAGTGGCCATGCAATGATGAAGGTTGGTCAGGTGTTTTAGCTAGTATCCATGCAGTTTGTCCAGGCCAGGTGCACTCCAGTTCTTGACTTACTTTGCTTGTTTTGCAATCATGTCAGTTGTTATTACAGTATTTTCCATTTTGTTTTGTGTTGTTTGTTGTTGAATATCTTTGATTCAGGAGGCAGTTTTGTTGTGTTCCACTGGGTTTTCCCACAGTTCTTTCCAAAAGTTCAAAGTTTTTTCTTTACATGGGTGAACATTAGTTTGGACTCAATTTTCATCAAGGGACTGGTAGAAGAGGTGTTGGTTTCTTCTGAACTGGACATTTTCACGATATTGTTTAATTTGTCCTTCGTATCTTTCAATTTTCTTTGCTGCTGCTATTACATGTTGTTTTAGTTCTTCCATGATTTCCATTATTGTTTTTTCCTCCAGGTTGTATTTATTGTGTAAACTATTTTTTAGCTTTTTGTTCTTTAGTTTTCCTTCTTTCAAGTACTTCAGATTGTTGACATCCCCTTGTAGTTTTTTAATTTTCAAGTTGAATTTTCCACTTTGGTTTTCCAGTGGGTTTTATTTTGGCATTCTATAACCCAGTTCTGCAGTTATAATGGCAGCTGTGCTATACATTAGTTGGTTGGTTTCATATGGTGTGCTGGATGGGATGGACATTAAAATGCTGTTCATGGGGGTTAGTAGATCTTTCACTCGTTTGCTATGCACTTCACGAATGGTAGGTAGTCTTTTTCTTTCTATGTTTTCTTTGATGTGGTTTTCAATCTTTTCTTTCAGCATTTTTGCTAGATCACTTAACTCTACACTCGAGTGCCCAATTGAGTATTCCAGCTGGGTAGCGTATCACTGGAACTGCCCATGTATTAATGGCTTTAATTATGTTTCCAGTATTCAGTTTTAATTTTAATATTTTGAATATATATATATTGCTGTTAAAGAAATAAAGGGAGACTAATATAGATTTCAAGCTTTTTAGCTTTTTAGCTTTCATCAGCGAGCCCTAACCTTACTTGGATTCGAACTTGGGCTTCCTGCATGTTAGGCAGTTGAATTAACCTTTTGAGCCACAAGTTCTCCTCCCTTCATCTCCTCCCTTCATATTGTTGTTGTTGTTGTTGTTGTTGTTGTTGTTGTTGTTGTTGTTGTTATTATTATTATTATTATTATACTTGACAACTTGACTTATTAAGCTTGCCTAAACCACATCTGCAATACTCATGGGAATGTAGAGACATGTTGTTCAGATCCAATAACAAAATTGAAGATCACCAGTAGTTGCTTCCACATTTACATACCTGTTTTTCAGGTTTATCTTCCTTCTTTCTACCCAGAAATGTCCTTAAACAATTAAAAAGAAAAATAGTGAGATCTTGGAATGGATAAAGCCCTTTTGACAATGTTCAAACTAAATATAGCATCCATTTCTGTACTGGAGGAGTATACAAACTCTTATCATTTAATTAAACATGTATATATTTCTGTTTTTCAAAATATACTTAAAAGGCCTTTTCAGTCACAAGACTCTTCTGTGCATGTACAAACTATAACCAAGCAGCAGAAGCCTTAATTGCCTCTTATGCTGAAACACACACCTGCAATTGTCTCCAAAGTTTTAAGAATACATTTTGCAGATAACCACCTAGCTGTTTTGGGTTTTACATATTTTTGGCTTTGTTAGCATGCATGTTATCCTGGAAATCTGAACTTTCATCTTTGTTCAGCACTGAAAATAATTTAAAGTTGCCAAGAGGAAAGGGGGAAAAAGGATATGAGACCAATTGAGGAATGTAGCAAGAAGCCAGTGCTAAACATACAGATTCAGCCAGCAAAAAAATCAAATTATTCGGCGATGTTTTCAGTGTTTTCAACTTTTAGATGCAGCATCTTGTGAACTAAAATTTGCTTTTTAAGATTGAAACTTATAAGTGCATTGCCACCTAATATTGAGACTGTTCCTCATAAACAGGATTTTCACAGTAGAGAGTTGCAAATAAATATCTCCAGGGAAGAGTTACCATTTTACAGGAGAGGTTCCTTCTGTTCCTTTGGTAGTTTGATGACAACAGATCTGTTGAATCGAAAAAGAGAGGTGTGGTTGTGAGGGATAAATGTAAAGATTTTTCAAAGTGAGGAAAAATAATCAATGACTATCACAGAGAACGATGGTTTTTTCTCTGCTTCTCAATAAGAAACTTTTATTTTTCTCCATCTTCTGCTTATAAAAAGGTGAGAGGTCTCCAACATGGCCTTGGTAAACCTCATAAGAAGGTCTTATGGAGCAAATCAAGCCAACCAGCCAGACGTTCCCTCTCAGAATTGAAGATGGAATGAATCCAAGCTTAATACACCCATTTTGTCATAATTTGTCCCCCTCACCAATAATTTTACAAAAATCAATCCCACCCTTTTTTTGAGGAGAGAACATATTATATTAAATCCTGGCGGCAGTAATGTGGTCTCCGAGTTACGGTGTTCAAAGAAATGCTGGCTCTTCACTAAAGCAGCATATTGAGTTTGGAGAAATTTATTGGACTTTGAAATATAGTGGGTAAATAAATTAATATAAGGATCTTTAGAAAATATTTTAGCTTACCTCAATCAAACAAATTATTACAATAATAACCACCATCACAGTTGTCACAGAAACAGCCAACCACCATTTGAGGCCATTCCCATATTGTAGAATTCCCTGCTTTGGTATCTGCAAAGAGAAGTAAAGTGAAAGATGGGCCTTTGTGTATTTTAACATAAAAGCTCTTTTCCCCAGAAAAAAAGTATATCCAGGCCCACCTAGGCAACAGTTTAAAGGCAATAACAGTTTTACCAATTCAGTTTTATTAAAATAATCATATCTGAAATTTCTGATTTAATTCTAATGAACCTCATTTTGTTTTCCCTTGTTTTCACGTTTCAGTTACTTTAGCTTATATGTTGCTTATCCTTGTATATAGAGATGGGAATTAGGCAGAGAAGTGGTCTTGGCACACACACATTACTATAAACAATCTAACAAGGCTTTTACTCAAAAACAGTAACTTTCTTTCAAGAAATGAATGAGCAATTTACATCAATTGGTCTTCTGGGGGAGGGGGGGGGAAGAGACATCTAGGTAATCAAATCTTGTAATACTCCTATTAGTGCACCTGTTAGGATTATTTATGTAGGTTGCTTTTACCTCATTAGAAGGTTTTTTCATTTTTCTGGAGCTTGGTATATTCATATTGGTTTCATTTTTAGTTAGCAACAAGTCGGATTTCAACAGAGCAGATGCTTCCTGGATGGTTTTTCTGTTATTGAAGAGTTTCATTACAAGCCCTATTCTAGAGATGAGAAAATCACAAGACGTCTGGGTAGTCGGTTCTCTGCAGTTCACATTTATCATACGGATCAAGTGGGCAGTTAGATTCCTCCTAGGCTCGTTAAGGATCAGGTGTGCCAACTGTTTTTGCACCTCAGCTTCAAAGACATCGCCCTGAAGAAAATAGTTATCAGTGCTTGATAAAAAGTCAGATAAAAGGGGAGCAGAAGTGCTTTGTTCCTGATAATCCCAATACGCTTCATTGGACAATGTTTTATCAGGCAACAGTTCGTTCAAAGTTTCAGACTCCTCCGTATTAAGTCTAGAGTTGCTTCCTCCAATTATTAAATGTCTGAGAAGATTTTCCTTTCTCGACTCCTGAGACTCAAGTTCCTTCTCCAAAAGTTTCTCTGCAATTTGTTCGTTCTGAGCATTTTTCTCTTTTGCATGCTCACTGGTTACAAGGTGTTTTACATGGCTCGGTCTTGCTGATCTGTTGCCAGATTTCAGAATAAAGACCACTTTATCAGGATGTTCCTCACCTCCACCATCCACTACAAAAGAAGAAGTCAAAGGAGGTAGCTGAGTTGGAAAGTGTAAAATGGAGCGCTTCTGTAAGGAGTGAGCCGATGCTTGAGGAAGCCTCTTAATGGAAGAAACCTGCTGAGGATATAGTACAGCTACAAGCTTCCCTGTTTTTTCAGCCACAGAATGTGAAGCAAGAGCTTCTGAAATTTCTGTAGCCACTTCCTTCTGCATCTCCAACTCATGAGTTTTCTCTTTATTTCTTCTTATTTTTTCCTTGAGAGTCCCCTTCAGCCAGCTCTTAACTTTCAGAGCTTCTGAAATTTCTCTAGTCACTTTTTTCTCCATCTCCAACTCATGAGTTTTCTCTTTGTTTCTTCTTGTTTTTTCTCTGAGAGTCACCTTCAGTCCCTTAATAATCTCCAGAGCTTCTGAAATTCCTCCAGTCAGTTCCTTCTGCATCTCCAACTCATGAATTTTCTCTGTGTTTTCTCTTATTTTTTCTCTGAGAGTCACCTTCAGCCCTGTATTAACCTTCAGAGCTTCTGAAGTTTCTGTAGGCACTTCCTTTGGAGTATCCAACTCATGAATTTTCTCTTTGTTTTCTGTTATTATTTCTCTGAGAGTCACTTTCGGCTCCATATTAACCTTCAGACTTTCTGAAATTTCTTTATTCACTTCCTTCTGTATCTCCAATTCATGACTTTTCTCTTTGTTTTCTCTTATTTTTTTTCTAAGAGTCACGTTTGGCCCCTTATTAACCTGTAGAGCTTCTGAAATTTCTCTAGTCACTTCCTCCTGCATCTCTAGCTCATTAGTTTTCTCTTTGTTTTCTCTTATTTTTCCTTTGAGAGTCACCTTCAGCCCTGTATTAACCTCCAGAGCGTCTGAAATTTCTGTAGTCACTTCCTTTTGGATCTCCAACTGATGAGATTTCCTTTCCCCCCCTGTTATTTCTGCTTTGGGGGTGACTTGAAGGAGATTGGATGATTTGTACAGTTTTTTCAGCAGATTTTCATGAGATCCCGTTTCATCCAAATATTCATGAGGATTTGATTTAGTTAATCTATTCCATAATTTTAAAATTGATGACCTAATAAATTCAACGAAATTACCAATTATCTCCTGAATATGCACATTATCATAACTAGGAGATCTGTCATTCCTTTTGCAATTGTTTGAAGCTGGGCATGGAAGTATGAATCCATCCAAACTTTCACAATAAAACAATAGAATTCCAGCAAGGAAAATTTGGGTCACAAAGGGGGCAACACCTCTCATGATGCCTAACCCCTCTGGTTCATTTTACCCATGTGAAGGATGCCTTGGAATGTGGCAACCAACAATTGAGGTGATTCTATGCGGTTACCAAGCAACCATATATTGTTCCATACGGAGGCTGCAGGATAATGCCACTGCTGTTTAGTTTACCATGATTCATGACATCATAGAATTGCCAAAAACCATGGCAACAATATAGGTAGTGGCCTCTTTTATAGCTAATGAGTTGATTTTATGAGATCACTCAGATATTTATGATTAATGTTTTTGGGTCAGAAACACAGTAGGGAATACTATCTGTTTCCACTGGAAAATCAAATTGTAAGGCTTGGCTGTCATTCTCCAGCTACTAAAACAAATTACTGCACATTACTTATAGCTAGAGAAAAGAGAGATAAGCAGTTGAGGAAGGAATATAGTAGGACTTTAGCTTATATACCTCCCGTAGTACTTCACAGCATTCTCTGGGCAGTTTATAATGTCAGCATATTTTCCCTGAAAGGATTAGAGCATACACAGAGTGTGCCTAACTTTACTTTTGATTTCCTGCTGAGCTGAGCTCCATTGTAACCTAATGTGCCAACTGCATACCTGTTTCCCCGAAAATAAGACCCTGTCTTATATTTTTTTGAACCCTGAAATAAGCGCTTGGCTTTATTGCCATGCGCTCAAAAGCCTAATTGGGCTTATTATCAGGGGATGTCTTATTTTATGGGGAAAAGGGTAGATGAAGCCTCTAGGCGAATTGCCAAATAGCTAAAGTAACTTCTTATGAAAAATAAAATGTGGATTCTGCTTGCTGTAACTTAAAAAAACTCTCAGAAACCTAATATAAGAGATAATAATGCTAACGAAGCTCTGGGTTATATGCCAGAAAATGTATTTCTTTCCTCTTCTAAGGTCCATTGTTTTCAGAGTGCTAAGAAAAATCATGAAGTTTGCGTGATATGAAATAATGTTTCTAACATTATGATGGTCAGTGCAAGCTGTGTAAGACTATAAGAAGTTTGGAAAAAGTTTTTTTGCATGGGCCTGCTTTTCTCTCTGCCTGCTGTTAAGGTGGGAGACTATAAAGAGTCTCCCAGTTTTGCTTTCCAGCTAGAAATAAAAGCTGATTATCAGTAGACTTGTGTTCAGCATTTCATTGGATTTATTGGATTCTGAGCTGCATTAAAAAACCTTACACCCCTAACATTCTGGGTCCTCATTTTACCAACTTCGAAAAGATGGAAAGCTGAGGCAACCTTGAGTCATTCATGGTCAAATTCCAAATGTGGGCAGAGTGTCTGGGACATCAGCCTGATTTCCAAAGGAAGACTTTAAATAAAGAAACCCAGTTCAACTGAAAAGCAATCCCTCCTGTCTTCACATTTATCACATTTGGGGATGATAAAGACTAGGGATATTTGTGGGGAGGTGGGAACATGATAATGGTATCTGCATTTAACTGTTATGGCAAACAGAAACATCCTTGTATCAAATGTCCTAACAAGTAAATTGATTGCTGGTGGCTTTTGGGTGATTAAATCACCACATGCTTATTATTTTGTTATAACTGCTGTTGACACACATATCCTCCCCAGAATCTACATTTGAAGAAAAGGAAGAGCCAGCCCAAAAATAAATAATTAAGGACTTAACAACTAATTTAAATTATTTGCCTGCATAATATATTGCCTCCATTAATAACATTGACTGATCTCTATCTATGTCCCCTGATAATTCTTACATACCAAAACTTCTCTCTCAAACACAAGCACAGAGACCCTGGGACCTGCTACAGTTGTTCCTTAGTCCTGACAAGAAAAAGAGGACAATAGGGTGGGATGGGGAGTTGGACTGGAGAGAAAGGTGAGAAAAACTTGAGCATGGAAAGGAAAAAGTAACTGGAAAGGGAGAAAAGATGCTACAAAGGAGAAGATTTCAGCCCCATTGACTTTACCAAGCCTAATCTCAAGGGCATCCATTCTTTTCAACAGCAGTATTTGCCAGTATTTGCATCTCTTGCGCCTTCCTTTCTTTTCAATGGTTTCTACTATTCTTAGCTGCCCTCAATTCACAATGATCTGGGGGTGGGGGCCAAAAATCACCCTTTTCTATTAGTAAATCATTTATTAGAAAAATATAAAAATAATACTGTCTTTTCAATCGTCATTAATTATAAATAGGCAATTAGTCTTTTCTTGGAAGAGTGCTACCTTCTATTGGTAGCTTGCATTTGGAGCTTCATCACTCAAATGTTCTAAAAAACAAGGAGAACAAATTTCCAGGACGGATAATGTGCTTAGGAGAAAAGAGGATTCCTTTCTCCATAGTGGTGGACATAGCATCCAGGAATGGGTTGACCTCATCTGTTCAGTTGATTGGACTGAGTCTATCAAAGTTGTAATGCCACACCTCTGTTGCTAGGGCTTCCCAGTTTACTCAGTCCTTCAGCCTGGACAGACATGTCGAAGGTTTCTCTTCTGACTAGGATTATTCCTGGTTGCTTCTTCACTGCTGAAAAGGATTATTCTTGGAAGTTTATTCAGCTCTACTCAACATTGTGAGTTTAACAGCAGACTCTCATTAGTGGTAGAGTCGCTGGGAGTTTCCCAATGGTGAGGGCTTCGGCTCCAGTCATTGGAAGGGCCTCTCTGCTCTCAGGCTACTGACAGTCTCCTATCATTTGGCCATCCTGTCATCCATTGAGGTGCAGGCACTCTGGACAGGCTGTGGAGTCTAGCACTCCCATTTACAGCAGGTATAGCCAGACAGAGGAGCTTCACTCTCCCAGTTGTCGATCAGGAAGTGAGCTTGGTGGAATTTTGCACTCCCGAATCGGGTGAGTCGGGTGGCCATTTCAAAAACTGGGACAGCTGATCCACTCTTTTCAGAACCTGACAAGACAATAGATGCCATCCCTTTGCCTCGCCTATTTGTAGACATAGCCCAACGGCAGTGGGCAGCTCCATGGACAGCTCCAATTCCTTCTTCGACCAACAAACAGTTCTTTAATGTGTGCCCAGAGTTGGCTAAGGTGCTCCAGACTCCATCCGTGGATGCACCTGTGGCCGTCTTGATGTCCTCCTCCAATATACCTGGGGAGCCGGAGCAGAGTTTGAGACCAGACGATAGGTGGTCGGATGAGTCACTACAGAGAGCGCATAAAGGAGCCGCCTGCACAATCCAATCGGTCACTACTGCATCCTTCTCTGGTTCTGCCAGCTGCAAGAGAAAATCCCGGTGGCAGAAATAAGAATGCATAAAGATATCAACAAGATCGTGGCGGCAGTACAGTTTTCAGCTCACGCAATCCTGAACTCAACCCGATTTGCCTCCAAGGCTATGGCCTCCTCTGTGGCTGCTCCCTCTGGCTATGGCATTGGCAGGTGGATGCCTGTCACAAGTGGTGCCTTGCCTCTGTCCCTTTACAGGGGACAAATTATTTAGGGAGGTGCTGGAACCCTTGTTAGTGGAAACAAGAGATAAGCGCAAGATTCTACCATCGTCTCAGTACAGCGGTGAATTTCGCTCCTCTCCCTTCTTCCGCCACCCACTATTTTGGGGACCCAAATTGGGCTCTGGGCCTTCCTGATCGTAGAGGGTTTTCAGCCAGAGACAAAGAGGTCATTAAGATAGACAGCTAGAGGTAGACCCTTTCAGACTAAATGGCCCTTTCAAGGGGGAGGAAGTCATTCCTTTCGCCACCATAAGTAACTACATGTACATATCTCCCATTGGGGGCTGACTGGCCCTCTTTGCAGGCTGATGGGAGGAAATTACATTGGATGCCTGGGTCAGGGAGATAGTGAGATCTGGCCTCTCCCTAGAATTCCTCTCCACTACCACCACCCTGAGATTTTTTATATGCTGCCCAGTGTCAAAAGACACTTTTGAAAGGGCCCTCATCGATTCAGCCGTAAAACACCTACTGGACATTCGAGCTATCCAGAGGATCTCAGAGAACCAACTAGAGCAGTTGAGTACAACTCAATTCTATTTATCATTTCCAAGACCTCAGGAGGATGGAGAGCTATTCTTGGCCTCAAAGACTGAATCGCCTATTGTATATAGGCGGTTCAGAATGCAGTCACTTCATTCGATTTTTGGAGGCGTGAGAGAGGGCAACTTCCTCACCTCAATTGATTTAATAGAGGCCTACCTGCATATTCCAATTCTGCCCTTACATCGGAAATACCTTAGATTTTCACTAGTGCAGGCACCCACTATCAATATAGGGCATTACCTTTCAGTCTTTCATCAGCGCCTTGGACGTTTACTAAACTGCTAGTCACCTTGGCGGCTCATCTCAGGGCCTTACCCATGCGTGTCCAATGTTACCTGGATGACATATTAATCCAGTCCTCCTCTATCCATCAATCAAGAGAGGACCTCTAGGTAACTGTTCAGACACTTAGACACCACGGGTTCTCTAGTAATATTGAGAGGAGCCACTTGACAGCTTCAACCTGCTTGCTCCATCTGGGAGTGTTATAGATTCCATTGAAGGCATGGTGTATCTTTCCCAGGAGCGACAGGACTCTCTGAGGGATCTAGCACATAGAATCCTAAGGGAGTGCAAAGTGCCCTTAGTCCTGCTCTCTAAGCTCCTGGGCAAGATGGTGTCCAGCATTTCCATCATAACAGGGGCATGCCTACATGCCAGAGACCTCCAATAGTTTCTTTTACCTTTCCAGAGGACTGGCAGGAGCAGCTTGCCAGCCAGGGCCCAGGTTCCCAGAGAGGTTCTCCGTTCCCTCAATTGGTTCCATCTCCAAAGGATGCCTCTTCCGAGAACCCCAGTGCCTAGTTATAAAAATGGACACCAGCCTCTTCAGTTGGGAGGAGCACTTCAATTGCAAATGGCCCAGGGCCAGTGTAACCAACTGGACCGAAAACAACATCAATTGGTTGGAGCTGCGGCCTGTCCATCTGGCCCCCCATCATTTTCAGCACTTGATCTCAGACAAACACATTCTAGTGCTAACTGACAATGTGGCCATGAAGGCACACATAAACCGTCAAGGGGGCCCCTCATGCTGGAGGCCAGATGGCTGGGCCTTTGGGCAGAGAGAAATCTGTGGTCCATAGCTGCGGAGCACATCTCTGGGGTGTCCAACATTCAGGTGAACTGGCTCAGCAGGACAGCCCTCTTTTGGGGATTGAGAGACTGTTATGGCATCCCGGAGGTGGACTTATTTGCCTCCCCAGAAAATTCACAGCTCCCGTGATTCTACTCCAGGTTTCCAAATCAGGAGGTGGAAGGAGTCAATGCACTCCGCAGCCCATGGCCTCCAGGACTTCTTTATGCCTTCCCTCCTCTTCCTCTTCTTCCAAGGGTGATAAGGAAGGTTCTGGAGGAAAAGGCGGAGGTCAGGTCCTGCTCCTAGCCCCACATTGGCCCAGGAGGGCTTGGTTTGCTGACCTCGTGAATCTCTTGATGACTCAACCCTGGAAGATCCCTCAGGGCGTGATCTCCCTCAGCCAGGGGGCATTGGTCCACCCGGATCCACAGTGGTTCCAACTGACCACCTGGGTCTTGAGTGGAACATTCTGAGAGGGGACAATTTTTCCTCCAGGTCATCAAGACTATTCAGGCCTCTCAGAGACCTTCCACCGAGCGCATATACTCCACCATTTGGAGGGCTTTTTGACACTGGTCTATCAAGTCGGGGGTTTCTCCAGTAGAGATATCGATAGCCCAGATCCTGGAATGGATCCTGGAAATCCTCTAGGATGGACTGGATAAAGGGCTATCTCCTAACACCATCCGGAGGCAAGTGGCGGCCCTGTCCTCAGTATTAACTTGTGGATCACTGGAGTCGCTCACCTAGCATCCCACAGTCTGACGATTTATCAGGGGCACAACTAATCTGTACCCCCTGGTAGTGCACAGGTATCCTACCTGGGTCCTGTCTAAGGTATTGAATTCCCTCACTGGGGCCCCATATGAACCCTTACAATCTGCCAGCCTGCTCCACCTCTCCTGGAAGGTGGCATTCTTGGTGGCTATTACATCAACCAGGTGGATCTCTGAGCTTGCTGCTCTGAGAGTAAGGAATGATCTGTGTATTTTTCACACAGATTGAGTAATTTTGCAGTTGGACCCCTCCTTTATACCCAGGGTGAACACTTGGTTCCACAGGGTGCAGGAGCTGATATTACCCAACTTCTGCCCTAGCCCAGTCCACCCCTTGGAAAAGAAGTGGCACACCTTGGACATGAGGAGGACCCTCCGCATCTATGTTAAGAGGACTGCCAACCTGAGGAAAACAGAGGCACTGTTTATTTCCTTCCAACCAGCTTTCATAGGTAACAAGGTCACACCTTCCACAGTGGGTCAGTGGCTTTGGCTAACCATTGCCAAGGCATAGGAGCTACAGTCCCTTCCTAGGCCCACATGAGTGACAGCACTCAATCCGAAGTGCGGCTACGACAGCAGCGTGGGTAACACGCTGCTCTAGAGGAGTTCTGCAGAGTTGCTACTTGGTCTTCTCCTCCATTTGTTAAGCATTATAAATTGGACATATGTGCCTTGGCAGAGGCGGCATTCAGTTGCCGGGTCCAAAGTGTACATACAGAGGGGGAGACCGCTGACCAGACTGTAGCCCACCCATGAGGACAGCCAGCTTTGGTATGTCCCATTCCTGGATGCAATCTCCACCACTATGGAGAAGCGGTGTTGGTCTTACCTGAGATGCTCCTTCTCTCTGGGTGGAGATAGCATCCAGCCCCACCCTGGAGACTGACTGGTCCTTGGTCAGCAAGGACAATCTGCAATAATAACATATCGAGTCTGTCACTTCTTCTTCATCAAAAGTTGGGAAATCTTAGCAATAGAGGCGTGGCATTATAATTTTGACAGACTCAGTTCAATCAACTGAACAGACAGGTCAACCCATTCCTGGATGCTATCTCCACTCAACAAGAAGGAGCGTCAACGCCCCTTCTAGATCAGCAAGAAGGAAACAGAATCTTTGTCAATAATCTGCTATTCTCTCTCCATCTTAAAATCACACAAGATCTCCTTTTTTCATAGAGCAGGGATGTCAAACTCACATCATTATGGCAGCATTAAGTGATGTAATGGGACTCCCCCCTTCGCTAAACCTGGTGTGGATGTGGCCAGTGTGTGACACATCCAGCCTGTGGGCCTGGAGTTTGACAGCCTTGTCCTAGAAGATCTAGCTGTGAAAATGACAATTCAGTTACCTAAGAAGAGAAGGAAGAAAATCTTGATAATTTATTTTGCAAAGGCTGAATTCTTCAATTCTTACAGATATTTAATCTGTACGATTTCCTTCAGTACATTTCAAAACATTTCAATCTTTTAGTGCTTTCTGTAGAGTTTAACAGAAGCCCCAAATAGCACGAATGGGCTGCTTCCAAGTACAGTTTCATTCATTTACAATCAACTATTTTTCTTCTAAATTTTCACATCGATTTCTTGGATTGACATAGGATGTTCTTTCAACTGATTGTTGAAAGAAAAATCCATCTGGTTCAGTTCCAAGCTAGGAGAGAGGCGCTGGAAAGAAAATGGAGGCTAGCTGCTTAGGAAAGAAGGTCTGTTTATTGATGAGCAGAGCCAACAGATGAAAAAGTTTTAGAGAAAATGTGTATAAAATAAATTTAAAAACTGCTTCAACACAATCTTGGATGGTAAATAAGAATACAATCAGTCTTGGCTTTGCACATTCTTGCTTCTCTTTCTTATTACAGCAAGGCTTTCAAAAACACTTCATGGGAAAACACTTCCGTTTTTATTCAGTTGCAATTTGTTGTTGTTCAAACTGATAAGAGGATCACAAATTACACTAAGCCATGATCCCTATAACCGTTATCTATTGAACAAGTCAAACTGAGTTTCTGCAGTATGTTAAGCTGCAGACAAACCACATAAAAGCTTAGAGCAAAGTAAAACTTCCTGGAAATGTGCTTAAGATTTCAAACTAAGCAACATTAAAAAAAAAAAAAAGAAAGTCTGATTTAGAGCCAAGAGATAGTTTGGTTTGCATATTTGATGATAGGAATATTCAATCATTTCTCTGATGGAAGATGGAGGGAAGTATGGAAAAAGGATTTTAAAGGAAGGTTTTATGGCTTTGCCTCGCATTATGAACAATACTTTCCAAAATGCATCCAAGAGTTCCTGTTGCACTGCAAACCTCTGAGTGTTGTGGGTAGCCCTGAAAAACTCTGAAAGACAGAAATCCAAAATAACATATTGATTCAAGATTTCTTGGCACTGCTGAATATATCTGATGTACTTCAATGTGAATTCAAACCGATTGAAATACTGGGCCCATCAAACCTACTTCGGGGAACGTTTGCGGGGGGTTCTTAACACCTCTAGATTTTTGTGGTCAGTCTATACTTCAAAGTGTATTTTATTGCCCTCTAAGAACTGTCTCCATGTCAGCAGCACCCATCGCACCACGAAAGCGTCTTTCTCCCACTCTGCCCAATGTCTCTCCGTCTCACAGTTTTCAGGATGTGTAGGTGCATGGTTGCTGTTTCCCCTCTTTGTTCTTTTGGAGAACTAGCCCTCACTGCCACATCATTGGCATCTGCTTGGATCACAAATGGTTCCTCTGGATTGGGGTGCTTTAGGACCGCCTCATCAGCAAACAATCTCTTAGGTTTCTCAAAGGTCACTTGGAATTCCACTGTCCAGTTTAGTGGCTGGCTGGGCTGGAGCTCCTCCCCCCTCCCCCAGTCTTTAATAGTTCCATGATCAGTAAGGCGATCTTCACTATGAGGGGATGTATTGCCTATAAAAGTGCACATTTGCGACCTTAGAGCGATTGCACACTCTGGTCCCCAATGCTTTTCTCGTTCCCCAGGCTGTTCAGATTCTCAGGGCCAGAGCCTTCAGCTGATGTTGTGTAATGCCAGGTCCGTTGTTAATAAAGCCCCCTTCATCCACGATCTTATTCAGGAGGGGGAAGCGGACTTAGCGGGCATTACGGAGACCTGGTTGGGCCAGGAGGGGGGAGTTCCCCTCGTGGATATGTGCCCACCAGGCTTCCATGCATTCCATCAGCCGAGGGCTCAGGGCAGGGGCAGGGGGGTGGCGGTTATTATAAAGGAAGGTCTGGATCCGAGGGAGACCACTGTACCTTAGATAGCCGGATGTGAGTCCCTTTTTGTGAAGTGGAGTTGTGGGGTGCAGATGGGCTTGTTGATCACGTACCTGGCTCCCTGCCACATGGCAACGGCCCTGCCCGAGCTGCTCAATGTCATAGCCGGGGTGGCGGTTGATACCCCCAGGCTTTTGGTCATGGGGGATTTTAACCTGCCATCCATCGGCGAAACGTCTGAGGTGGCCCGGGAGTTCATGGCTTCCATGACAGCCATGGACCTGACTCAGTTAATTCATGGCCCCACTCACATAGGTGGGCACACTCTGGACTTAATTTTTATCTCTGGTCAGTGGTTGAGTGGCCTTGATATAGGGGATATAGTCATCAAACCCTTGTCATGGTCTGACCACTCATTCCTTCGACTAGACTTTCTAACTGCTACACCCTGCCGCAGGGAGGCGGAACCAACTAGGTGGTTCCGCCCCAGGTGCCTGATGGATCCTGATAGGTTCCAGATGGAGCTTGGGCCAATCCCTGAGACTCTGGCTCATGACTCGGCTGAGGACCTGGTGGCTGCCTGGGATAGTGCAGCCACCGGGGCCTTGGACCGCGTCGTGCCTTTGCGGCCTCTGACCCGGCACCGAACTCACCTAGCTCCTTGGTTCTCCGAGGAGCTGAGGGAGATGAAGCGCCAGAAAAGACGCCTGGAGAGCAGTTGGAGGACCAGCCATTCCAAATCTGACCGAACACTGGTGAGGTCTCATATTAAGACCTACCTAGTGGCGATAAAAGTGGCAAAATCTAGTTATTTTTCCACATTTATTGCGTCAACAGATAATTGCCCAGCCGCCCTGTTTAGGGTGACCCACTCCCTCCTCCATCTGGGAGCACGGGATGACCCCTTGCAGGCCCGAGCTGAGGATTTTGTGCAGTATCTGCATGATAAAATTACTCAGATTCGGGAAGGTCTGGCCACTGACTGGGTATGTCCAGACGGGATGATTGAGGCAGGTCTTGAGAGTGTTACCTGGGAGCAGTTTGATCCTGTAGTTCCCGAGGACGTGGACAGGATTCTGGGATGGCTGAACGCGACCACATGTCCCTCCTGTTGGTGCTGGCTTCCTGGGAGGTTACACGAGGCTGGCTCCAGAGGATTATTAATACTTCTTTGAGGGAGGGTGTCCTGCCGGCCGCCTTGAAAGAGGCGGTGGTGAGGCCCCTCCTCAAGAAGCCCTCTCTGGATCTGGCTATTTTGGCTAACTATCATCGAGTCTCCAACCTTCGTTTTATTGCGAAGGTTGTTGAGAGTGTGGTGGCGTGGCAGCTGCCACAGTACCTGGATGAAGCTGTCTATCTAGATCCGCTCCAGTCCGGCTTCAGGTCTGGGCACAGCACGGAAACGGCATTGGTCGCGTTGGTGGATGATCTCTGGAGGGCTCAGGATAGGGGTTGCTCCTCTATCCTGGTCCTATTGGATCTCTCAGTGGCTTTTGATACCGTTGACCATGGTATCATGTTGCGCCGATTGGAGGGGTTGGGGGTGGGGGGCACCGTCTTGCGGTGGTTCTCCTCCTACCTCTCTGACTGGTCGCAATCTGTGTTGACAGAGGGGCAGTGGTCGACCCCGAAGTGCCTTGTTTGTGGGGTGCTGCAAGGGTCGGTCCTCTCGCCCCTTCTGTTCAACATTTATGTAAAGCCGTTGGGTGAGATCATCCATGGCTTTGGGGTGGAGTTCCATCAGTACGCTGATGACACCCAGCTGTACATCTCCACCCCAGGCCACCCCAACGATGCCCTTGAAGTGATGTCCCAGTGCCTGGAGGCCGTGCGGACCTGGATGGGGAGAAACAGGCTCTGACTCAATCCTTCCAAGACCGAGTGGCTGTGGCTTCTGGCGTCCAGATATAGCCAGCTGGTGCCATCGCTGGTTATTGGGAGTGAATCACTGGCCCCCACGGAGAGGGCTTGCAACTTGGGCGTCCTCCTGGATGCACGGCTGTCTTTAGAAGAGCATATGACGGCCGTTGCCGGGGGGGGGGCTTTTTATCAGGTTCGCCTGATACGCCAGTTGTGTCCCTTTCTGGATCGGTCACTCAGGTCACTCAGGCGCTCATCACCTCCCGCCTGGACTACTGCAATGCTCTCTACATGGGGCTCCCCCTGGGGTGCACCCGGAGGCTCCAGCTGGTCCAGAATGCGGTCGCACAGGGGATTTTGTGAGCGACGGGGCGCTCCCATGTGACACCGCTCCTGTGCGAGCTGCACTGGCTCCCGGTGGTCTTCCGGGTGCGCTTCAAGGTGTTGGTGACCACCTTTAAAGCGCTCCATGGCTTAGGGCCGGGGTATCTGTTAAGGATATTGGTGTTGTGTTACCAACCAGCAGAGTAAATGCACAAGGAAACGTTGCTGAGAGCAATGAATAAGATATGTGCAAACTGGTTTATCAAAAGCTTACTTTATAGTAGAAAAACAGTCTCATAGTCTTTAAACAAATTCCAAGTCTTTGCCATTTAAATCAGTCCAGTAGTTACAGATATCTTCTTACCAAACAAACATTAGTTGGTTAGAATAACAAACTCACTCTGGTTCATAAACCACGATGGTAGCAGATCCATCAAACGATGATTACAGATAGCAACTCCTCTAAATGGCAGCATATCATAGCAGCAACTGAACACGTTACAATACCTTGCTTAAATACTCTCACAACCAGTGATTACCTAATTACAGCATGACTCAGCATTAAAGTCACATAATACATTTACAGATTAAAGTTACAGTACACTTATATTGCCTGTTAGGCTCAAACCATATCCTAACAGTATCTACGAGACTGCCTTCTGCCACCAATAGCCTCCCACTGGCCAGTATGCTCGCACAGAGAGGGCCTCCTCAGGGTGCCGTCTGCCAGACAATGTCGGCTGGCGACCCCCAGGGGGAGAGCCTTCTCTGTGGCAGCGCCTGCCCTCTGGAACAACCTCCCCCCAGAGATACGCACAATACCAGACCTCCGGACTTTTCGTCGGGCCCTGAAAACTTATTTATTTCACCTAGCCGGGCTGGCTTGATCCCACTGGTCTTGGTTAATTGATTCTAATTGGGTTTGATTGATTTTAATTGGGTTGTTTTAAATTGTGGCCAAAAATATTTAATTATTTTTAAACTGTTTTTAAATTTTGTAAATGTTCTGTTTTATTCTGACTGTTCTCCGCCCTGAGTCCTGCTGGAGAAGAGTGGTATACAAATTAAAACAAATAAATAAATAAGCAAATAAAAATTTGCAAAGCCCAGGAAACTTTATAAGTGTTTGTGGATCTGTGAGGCTTGCCACTCTAAAATGGCTTTCACCATCCATCTCCAACCCCTCACAGGGCACTCTATATCCTAGGTAGACCGGGCTGGGTTTATGGAATTCGTATTTTGACAGTTTGGCATACAATTTAGCTCTTAGGAGGTTTTCCAGTACTTTACATACTAGGTTCACATGTTCATCAATTGTCTCCAAATAGATGAGATTGTCAAACAAATACACTAGGACCTCTTTGTATAGGTGCTCGTGCAGCACTTCATTTATCAGTTAAATGAACCCAGCTGGGGCTTTTGTTATCCAAAGTCTGTTACCCTAAACTGGTAGCATCCTAATGGCCAATTGAAGGGAGACTTTCATCTATCACTTTCTTTGATTCTTACTTGATAGTATGCCTCCCTGAGGTCCAGTTTGGTGAACACCTTCCCTTTGGCTAAATGTGCCAGCATATCTTTCATGAGTGGGAGTGAGTACATGGTTTGCATACACACACCATTTATCTCCCCAAACTCTATCCATAATCTCAATGATCCATCTTTTTTCTCCTTGAACAGCATGGGGACTTCTACTTGGGATTTTGTTGGCTAGATGAAGCCCCTGGTCAGCTTTTTATCTATATAGTCTGTTAACTCCCCCAACTCCTTTGGAGTCATTGAGTACATCTTGGGCTTTGGGAGTTTCACCCCTTGTAGGATATTGATTGCACAGTCCGTGGGATGATGGTGTATGTAGGGGATAGGACATCACATTCCTTTTCACTGAACACGTAGCTAAGTCCCGGTATTCTTTGGAGATGGTTTGTACTTTTGGTGCCAGTTTGGATGCCACTTTTGTGTGCTTGAGTCCTTCTCTATGTTTCCTCTGCTGGTTGGGCTCACCCTGCTTCCTTTCCAGAACATTTGGCTCCTCCCTGTCATAGCTACACATCTTTTTTCATTTCCTCAATACACAGTAGGTTTCTATTTGATAAGCCAGACTAACCCAATATTATAGCTTCTGCCATCTTTTGGGTGACCACAAACCAAATGATTTCTTGGTGGGTTCCTAACTTAAGGTGCATTGGTTCTGTTAGGTAGGAGATGGGCAAGCCCTTTATGATGGAGCCATCAGCCTTTTCGAATTTCATGAGTTGGCGTACCTTTCTCACTCGCAATCCCAACTTCCACATTGTTTGTTTGTTTGTTTGTTTGTTTATTTATTTGTTTGTTTTAATTTGTATACCGCCCTTCTCCAGCAGGACTCAGGGCGGTGAACAGCCAGAATAAAACAGAACATACAAAATTTAAAAACAGTTTAAAAATAATTAAATATTTTTGGCCGCAATTTAAAACAACCCAATTAAAATCATTTAAATTTAACCAAAACAGTGGAATCAAGCCAGCCCGGCTAGGTGAAATAAATAAGTTTTCAGGGCCTGACGAAAAGTCCGGAAGTCTGGTATTGTACGTATCTCTGGGGGGAGGTTGTTCCAGAGGGCGGGCGCCACCACAGAGAAGGCTCTCCCCCTGGGGGTCGCCAGCCGACACTGTCTGGCAGACAGCACCCTGAGGAGGCCCTCTCTGTGCGAGCATACTGGCCGGTGGGAGACTATTGGTGGCAGAAGGCGATCTCGTAAATACCCCGGCCCTAAGCCATGGAGTGCTTTAAAGGTGGTCACCAACACTTGAAGCGCACTCAGAAGACCACTGGGAGCCAATGCAGCTCGTGCAGGAGAGGTGTCACATGGGAGTGCCCCGTCACTCCCATAATCCCCTGCGCAGCCGCATTCTGGACCAGCTGGAGCCTCTGGGTACACCCCAGGGGGAGCCCCATGTAGAGATTGTCTGCAGGCTGACTGAGCATCGGGTGCACGCTGGATCTGTTAGGGCTTTCACGACCCCCTTTGCCCTCAAATAGGCTACTACAATCTCCACTTGGGCTGACAGGGGG